AACATTTTACACCCTGCTTAATATTAAATAATGCCTAAAGACACTTGTTAGCATTTTCCTCTTAATAAAGTGCCCCATGATTAAATCTAGAAAGTGGTCTAATTTTTTAGCTTAAATATTTATATAAATATAAATTAAGTTAAAAAGCTGAAAATGATTACAATTATTCAGAGCCTCTCATCTTTGTCTCTCTCCCAAACTGCAAGAAGGTATGTTTTACGATCTGTAACACAAAACTGTCTGATTTGCCTTTTTTTTATCATATGAATTCATAAGATTGATTTTGCCCCAAATTTTAATTTAATAGGCACATAATTTTGTTTATAACTATAATATTTAATAAATTAAGCACAGAATGTTTCCTCAAAAAATTTCTTCCCAAAATTTCAAACGAAATGTCCAAAATTTTACCTAAATTAAAATTCCCTACTAATTTTTTTAACAAAACCCTAGCCATCTCACTCTCTCTTTCTCTTCAGTGCCTAACCCTTCATCAATTGACGAGATCACACAAAATGTGACGCGTGCAGTTAAGTCTAAGTTCTCTTCGAAGATTGAGGAGCTAACAAATCGTGTTGCATTCTTAGAGTCACATGGTGCAGGTGGGACTACGAGCCCTAGACAGATGGGGTTACATATTAATTTATTAGCAAATTTATATATATACACATATGAGAATGTTTAAGGCCATTTCCAACGGTTTATCAAAATCATCACCAAATTTGAATTTGGTGAAGAAGGATACCTTTTTGGTCTCTAACAGTTTTATCAAAATGATATCAAATTGAAGGTCCCAAAATTTCACCAAACTGAGGATGCTTTTTACTTTTTAGCAATTTACTGTGCATAGCCATTGAGTGGTGACCCACCAGACGACTGGCCAAACGTCCAGTCGGATGTCCCCCACATAGAGGCAAAAATTTATGAAAAATTTATATTGATCGGTCAACCGCCCGTTCGACCACCCAGATGACCCCCTCTGTATCTTTTTTTTGACTTGTACACCATTAGTGCTACTGTCATCATGTTCAACATGTATGAATTGAACACCAGAGACCAAAGTAGCCATTGTTGGGGACTTCAATATGCATCACTTTGAGAAAACCCAGATGGAGAATTTCAATATCTCTTATGAGAACACAACAAAGCTTAAGGAGGCATTGGAAAACAAGGGTTTTCACCGAGAAAATGAATCTTGGCAGGTAGTAGAGATCAACAAGCTACAATTAATAATGACCTATGGTAGAGAAATTCAAAATCAGAGAAAGTTCAAAGAAAGACTAAGAAATGTGAAACAAGCACTAACGCATGTGAAAACACAAGGTGTTCTGGTCGAGTCCTAAAAAAGACTAGGAATATTATGAGCTAAAATTAGTCAAGTGTGAAAGAAAATGGAACAGAGAAACCAAAAGGAGCATTTTTAATAATTTATTTATTTATTGAAATTTGTTGTGATTTTCAATGAAACTGTAAAACCTATTGAAAAGTGAGACCAAAAACAAAACAGTAATCAGAGAATGTTTAAAGAAAACAGGAAACCAAAAAGGGCAATTTAAAAAAAAAAATGTTTTGTGATATCGAAACAAGATTGTAATTTCAATTGAACCCAAAACAGGAGTTGAAAGTAAATAAACCCAGAACACAGAAGGACAAAAACTGGTACCAATGATACATACCCATCAATTGAAAAGGGGTTCCTAGTCCGAAGAACAAGAAGAACAAGATTTTAAAGATGTTTTTGGCTTACCATAAAAGAGAAGCTGAAGGTTGTCAGAGATCTTTGGTTGAGACAGAAGAGAGAGCTGAAAATCAAAGGCACTGCAGCAACCCAAAAGAAGCCACAGAGAGAGAGAGAGAGAAAGAGAGAGAGAAAGAGGGAGCATGCTCAAAGAACTTCCACAATCACACCCAGAAAAGTTATTACAGATTTTTCGGATTACACTTGCCGGACGACCTGTGTTTTGCTGACAACTAAAAATGCACCATTAGAGAGCTTGATATCAGATAGAGGAATTTGTTAGATTTTTATTCAGATTTAATGAAATATTTGGTGAACCGTTGGAGATGCCCTAACAAGTTATATTGATATATTGTAGGTGCCGGATGCATCTAGTGTGCATCAAGAATTCAGCAAGTCTGTGGGTACTGAAGAGGAGTTACTGCATGATTGACAAGTTAAAGAGCAGGTATATCTCCTACACATTGATATATATATATATATACATACATACATACATATTCATGTTCACAATCACACAGGCGGTTGAGGTTAAGGGTGAGCCTATTGAAAACCTATAGTGGTGTTAGATGGTTGAGGGTAAGCCTACTGAAAACCCAGATATGTCATATTTGTTCTATGAGTTGCTGGTAGGGGTTTGAAAACCTAGATATATTGTTTTATTTATTGCAGCATTACTGATATGACCACTGCTTTATGAATTTTATTAAGTGTTTGTTGATACAAAGCTAAGAAGAAATACTTTATCTTCTACTTTTCTTTTCTTAAATTTGTCTTGGTTTTTGGGTTTTAGTGTTACCTTGTCTTGTTGTTGTATTTTCTTCTAGCTGCATTCTTTTGATTTTTCATGTTCTTCTCTGTTTTTTGTTGAGAAGGTTCTGGAGCTGCCATGATCTTTCTTTTCTTTCTATTCTGGTTTTGTTCTTATACTTTTTGTGTCTATGTTCTTTGGGTTTCCCTTGAGTGGTGTTTTGAGTCGTTCATGGCTACTAGTGTCCAAGAGATTCAGATGCACTGTGATCACTTTAGTCTTTTTGTCGCTTATCACGACTATGAAGGTATGCGAGGGTTGTGAGTGGTTGTTTTGGATGTTTCTACTTCTCTGCTTCTCTTCTTTTCTCAGTTCATGTTGGCTCTCTACCTCTCTGCTTTTGTTGCTACTATATTGGATTGTGTGTTGTTGTTTTGTGTTGGGTTAGTTGTTTATTTCTTTTCCTTTTTTATTTTTCTTTTCCTTTGGTTTTTGGGTGGGTGGCCTGCAGCTTCAGTTAGTTTGGGCTATTGTTGGTGAGTTTATTTAATTCTTTGTTAGCTGAGTTTGGGTGTATTTTGATGGATTTTATTTGTGGATTAAGACTGAGATTTTGATTAACATTGATATTTTTCTACCAATAAAACTCTTATTTTAATTGGGTACATGGAATTACATATGTTTTTGTTCGTTGGATTTGGATATATAACTTGGTGGAAAAGTATAAAGTCTCATATTTTCAATTGGGATTTTTGAGTGAGATTTCATAATTTTTGATGGAATTTCTTAATTTAAATTGAGATTTTATTTATCAAAAAAAAAAAAATTTAAATTGAGATTTCATGGCATCTATGTTCTGTTTTGATGATTAATTTGATCTCCTAGCTTTGTAATTGAGTGGACAAGAATTTGCTGCTGGAAACTATGTCTATAGCATAATTGATTGTTGTTATAGAAAGAAAAATATGAATTTGCCTTTGCAATAGGAAAACATTGCATCCAAGCCAATTGCACAATTGATTGGTAGTGGACAATCCTTTCAATCGATTGTTGAATCGATTAGTGGTGGCCAAGCCATCCAATCAATTGGACAATCGATTAGTTAACTAATTTTGCTAATGATCTTTACAGTGCCGGTGGCTATCAATATTACGATAGGATACATGGCCATGTTTGGGGTTGAATGAAAGGTGTGTTCGGTTGCTTATGGTTTGAGATTTTGCTCATGAAGATTGCTCTTTTTTTTTTTTCTTTTCCTTTTTGGTTTCAAAGTGGAATGTCAGGTTATCTCTTTTTTAGCTTCAATGAAAATGACACACAGCTATAGAAAGTTAAAAGAAAGATTTGGTGCAAGCATCAAGATATACACAAGTCGAACTGGGAGATAGATGCAAAAGCATTTTGAAGAAGCCGCACAAGCGCTGAGGCTAGATCCATGAGTTGACATTGTCGTTATTTGAAAGCTGCATTATTTTTTTTTTGTGCTTTGTGTAAATACTATTACGGAAATTGTTGTTTATTTCCTTTTTTTTAAAAAGACATTAAATAAATTTGTGTATAACCTCTCCTAGTTTTTGGATGTGGAGAAATTTGTCTACGTTGGATGTGGATATAATGATTTAATCTTTATTGGAGTTTATGTTGAATGAATTGAATTTTTATACTTGTTAATTGAGTTTTTCATATAATTGGATGAAAATAAAATTCTGAAGGAAAAATTAATTGTTGTTTTCCACAAAATAATACAATGGTTGTTTTTAAGAAATGTTATTAAAAAGATTTCATTTTATTCAATTATAAAAGACACTTAGTTGGACTTGATTTTATGAATGGCATGCACAAAATTGATTGGCTTGTAAATTTGGATTGTGGTTTGTATGCATAATTGATTGAATAAAGTTGTATGTACTAATTGATATATCAATTAATGTATTAACATATGATGTGATATAATTTTATTGACTTTAAATTTTTGTAATTTGCACAATAGATGAGGTTCATAGTTTTAAAATTGTAATGTTATTATATGTGTTAGTATATTAATTGGTATAGTAATTGATGTGTATAGCATCACTCAAGTCAATTTCAATCAAGACTTGTTTGTATGCATAATCAGTTGTACAATCAATTGACATAAAAAAAAAAATATTATGGTTTATAGTATTGGCATTCTTGTCTTAGCCTAATGCAATCTTAATCAATTTTCGAAGATATTAACCAACATCAAAACACAACCACACTTAATTGATGGACACTAAATATAGGATAACACAAAATACATTAACAAACACAAACAAGATTATCAAAACCCATGTAGCCATTTAGAATACCAATAAAAAAAATAATAAAAATAAAAAAAATTAAAAAAAAAAAAGATGGGGCAAACTCATTTTAAACAAATCATAAACATTGTCAATACAATACACCTGTTATAAGGAAACAATTGCCAAGAATCACAACCCATTCCGAAAGCTCATCATTGAGGAGTTATGAAGTTAGTTTGTGAAGACATGGAACTCGTGCATAGTTACATTTGCAAATCTAAGAAATGCCATGAACTTGTGCTTAAGCGTCTTCTAGTGCTCCAACAACCTTTTCGAATCATAATCTTTGATCTTCTTGCATACCATTTCTCTTCATCTTGTTTTCACAAAGCCACAATGATTAAAAATCTAAACGTTTGCTTGATATATTTTGATCACTCTTGTCAAATGTAAATTCCTCAACACAAATCAACCTGGTGCATTCAAGTGTTCTAAGGGTTTTTTCCAATGAAAATGTTTTGAGTTTTTCTAATTGGATTGACTTACAAATTGCAAGCATGATTGGAACTTGGGGCCACTATGTGGAAGACTCAACAATGCATTGAATTGCTTATTTTTTTTACTGTTGGAACCATAATCTTCATTCATTTTCTTCAAAATAAGCAATTCATTATAGACTTCCAGGAATTTTTATTCACTCCATTCACTATACACATAATAATGATATACATATAACTACTACTTTCCCTTTTATTTTGTTATCTCTGTATTTATGTATGTATGTATGTATGTATGTGTGCACATAACAATCCTTGAAAATTTTGTAAAAAAGAAGTTTGTTAGTTGCAAAGTAATTGAGCAGAAGTGTATGTTAAGACAGCTGATTTTTCTACTTTGAATTACATGAATATTGCTTTTTGGTCCCTGCTAATTCTACTTGACAAACCTTGGACAGTAAAAAGTAAAAGGTGGAAAGTGCAAACAAAATTTTTGAGGTGTTCAACTAAATGATGAGTCCTATTATGCCATAAGATGTTTAGGAGGAGCTTTAACTTGTGTTGCAAAGTCAAGAATTTAGCCCCAATCCACCCCCTACAAATTCCATCCCCAACCCTCCCCAAACCATAAAGAGAGAAAAAGAAAAGAAAAAGATGAATTTTTTTTGGATAAATAAGCAAACTTTATTGAAAAAATATCAAGACGATGTAAGGAATATAAAAACAAACCTAACAGCTATCAACAAACATAAACCAAAACAACACTAAACAGCAAGACAAAAACAAACAAAATAGCTACTAAATCAAATCCTCTACAAAATCAACAAAAGTCAAAACATCCGGGTCTACTGTCAATGATATCCAACTATGTAGCACAATGAACAAACGCCTCTCTAACCATGCCACCGAACGCATCTCTCCCAAAAAAACTCGCCTGCTACGCTCCAACCAAACTAGCCACATTAGACAATGGCTAGCCAACTTCCATGCCTTCTGACGTCTCTTCCCAACCCATTCACTAGCCTAACTTTGTAACACCGCCCTCATTGTCCCTGGTTGAACCCAAGCCAAACCAAATATAGCAACAATAAACATCCAAAGACATTAAGCAACCGGACAACCAATAAGCAAGTGGTCCACCGTCTCCGCATCCCAACACCAGTTTGCTAAAATATGCCAACGACGAACCAAATTATCAATCGTCAAAATACGCCCTAATGCTGCTGTCCACACAAAGAAAGCAACTTTGGACGAACAACCCACCACCTAAACAGTTTTCAATAGGAACAACACCCCATCCCTTCCCGTAAGCATGTGGTAAAAAGAAGACATAGAAAATATCCCTTTGGACTTCGAACCATCCCATCTCAAAGAATCCTCCCCAACCCCCCCCCAAACCGAAGTTCATACAAAAAGCCCAACAAATCCAATAACTAGCCCACCTCTCCACTACAAGAAAATGGGGTTTAAAAGACAGAAATTTTTGCCACGACACGACTTGCCGTCGCAAAAAATGTGACTTTTTGAAACGGCACGTCTTGCCGTCGCCAAAAATGCGACTTTTTGAGACGGCACAACTTGCCATCGCAAAAAAATAGAGTATTTGCGACGACATAAAATGCTGCCGCAAAAAAGGAGAGTATTTGCGACGGCAGAGATTGCTGTCACAAAAAAAAAATAGAGTTTTTGCGACGACACCACTTGCAGTCGCAAAAAAAAAAAAAAAAGAGTTTTTTGCAACTGTAATAGGTACCGTTGCAAAAAGAAAAAAAGTAAAAAATATATATATATATATATATTGTGGCTTTGAGAGGGCTTTATATATATAGTCACAAAATGGTTTAAATAAATGCAACGGTATTTTTCTGTTACAAAAAAAAAATTAAAAAAAACGACATCGTCTTACTCTTTTGAACATTTCTCTTTTCACTTATTTTTTCATCTTCCTATCTCTATGTCTCTGTTTCTGTCTCTCTTCTCTTTTTTTGTCTCACTTATGACTTTTCTATGTCTATCTGTTTCTCTCTCTCTCTCTCTCTCTCTTTCTCTATGTGTCTCTGTCTCTCTTCTCTTTCTCTTTCTCTCTCTCACTCATCACTCTTCTCTGTCTGTTTCTCTCTCTCTCTCTCTCTATGTCTCTCGCCCATCTCTCATCTCTCTTCTCTCTATCTCTCTCTATCTCTCTTCTCTTTATCTCTCTCGTTCTCTCGTTCATCTCTCTCTGTCTCTCTCTCATTTATCTCTTTTCGCTCTTTCTCTCTCTCTCCATCTCTTTGTCTATCTCTTTTCACCTATTTTTTGTCATTTCCTCTCTCTTCTTTTTCTCTCTCTCACTCATCGCTCTTTTCTCTTCTCTATCTATCTGTCTGTCTATCTATCTCTCTCTCTCTATGTCTCTCACTCATCTATCTCTTCTCTCATCTCTTTTCTCTCTCTATCTTTTTTGCTCATCTCTCTTCTCTCTATCTCTCTCGCCTATCTGTCATCTCTCTATCTCTCATCTCTTTTCTCTTTATGTCTCTCTCGCTCATCTCTCTTCTCTCTATCTCTCTATCTCTCTATCTCTCTCTCTATCTTTTTTCCTCTATCTTTCCACCATTTTTTTCCTTCTCTCTCACTCATCACTCTTATCTCTGGCTCTCTCATCTCTCTCCGCTTTTTATCTCTCTTGTTCATCTTTCTTCTCTCTCTCTCTCTCTCTCTCTCTATGTCTCTTTCTCTATCTCTTGTTTATTTATTTTTGTTCTCTCTCTCTCTCTCTCTCTCTCTCTCTCTCTGTGTTTATCTCTCGCTCATCTTGTTTCTCTCTTTTTTTTCCTCTCTATCACTCGTCACTCTTCTCTCTGGCTCTCTCTATCTCTCTTTATCTCTCTTGCTTATCTTTCTTCTCCCTCTCACTCTCTCTATATCTCTTGTTTATCTCTTTTTGTTGTGTTTCTCTCTCTCTCTCTCTCTCTCTCTCTCTCTCTCTTTGTCTATCTCTCGCTCCCCTTGTTTATCTCTCTCTTTTTTTCTTTCTATCTGTCTCTCTGTCTCTCACTCATCTCTTTTCTCTCTCAATTGTTCATTTCTCTCAATCACACTCATCTCTTTCTCTGAGCCCATTGTTGTTGAAAGAGGAAAAAGTCAAAAAATGAAATGGGTCTCTGTTTCTCTCTGTGTCTCTCGCTCATCTCCCTTCACTCTCTCTTTCGCTCATCTCTCTTCTCTATCTCTCTCATCTCTTTTCAAATATTTCTTTTTCAAATTTTTTTTCAATTATTTTTTTTTCTAATTGTTTTTTTTTTTCAATTATAATGTGTATGATCCCATCGTCATAAATAATAAAAAAAATATAAATATTTTAGGCCTAGACAAACATGTTTTTTAGTTTATGTTTTTAAATTTTTTTAAACATTTTGTTCAAACCAAATGCGTTTGTAATTTATGTTCTTCTAAAAATAAACAAAAGCCAATTTATAAAATTTATGGAAAATATTTTTTATTAAAATATTACCCCTACTTCTACCAAAGTAATTTTTTATTCATTAAAATAAAAATGAAACAAATAAATTTTTAACCTTAATAACTAAAAAAAATAAAGAATCAAAAAAAAATTCATTAACTATAAAAAAAAATTATTTTAACAAAAAATAATTTTTTTTTTAAAAAAAAGAGCCATTTTGTTATTTAAATATTACCAAAAAAAAAAAAAATATTCCCGCTTGATTTTCCACCCTTCCCCATCTCTTGAACCAAAATCCCCAATCTGAAAAACCAAAAATCCCCTTCAACCAAAAATCCCAAATTCTTATGGCTCCGCCGAATTAGAGAATATCTAACTAAGAGGGTATCCAGGCTCCAATCTGTGGAGATCAAAGCCATGGCCGTTTGCCACTCATTTTCCACGATTGTACTAACGGTTGTAGCCACGACTACTGCCAGCAAGTGAGGAAGAGAAGAGATGAGAGGCGAGCGTTTAGAGATGGAGGTGCAAAAAGAAAGTGAAGAAAAGGTGTGTAGCTTTGCGAAGTTGTTTTTTTAGGGTTTCGCACCACCCCCTTCTCTCAGATCTGCCCCTCCCGTTATCTCCATCTCTGTCTTTCTCTACATATATGTTGTGTTTTCTATTTGATAGTTGCATCAGACCTTGGTTTTTTATCTGTTTGTTCATTGATATCAATTTGAATCTCTCTGAATCTCTCTGAATCTATATATATATATATATCTTGGTTTTTGCTCTGTTTGTTCATTGATATGTGTTACTTTTCTGTGTAGTCTATTTCATATGCTTTCTTAGAGAAGGATGATAATGGTGTTAGGTTGATGATGATAGATCATAGATGCACCATAAGTGCTTATAGTGTCCTTTACGTTTGTGTGTGTGTTTGTGAAGACCATGTAAAGCTTGTTTGAGAATGAAAAGTACTTCAAAGCTTACTACCATTCTATGTTGAATCATTTATCTATGATGATGTATGTGCACATGTGCTTGTGAGTTATGACTTGTACATTTTTACTCGAATCGCCTCCTATAGCTTTGATGTGCTTCTCTCATCTAGGAGTGAAGCTACTACATTGTCAATTTCTATTGAAATATGGAATGGTGCCCTCTGCATTTGCCGTGCAACATCCCCTTTTTAATGAGAACAATTGTAGACTTTAGAATGTTGGGAACACTGACAGTGTCCATGACTTCACGCTTTATTGTACTTTGATTAGGTTCCTATAGTAGATAATATATGTTCCTTGTGGGTTGTTTGGTGCCATTTGAGAAATTTACGACTGGACTTGTAACAAAAGGGAACTTCCAAAGGGAATTGACAACCATTTTTGATCTATTTCCTCTATTGGCTCATGCTACTTCTTTTAAAACTGGTATTGTTAATGCCTCTGTGAT